CCCCCCCATTCAACCTCTCCACAGGGGAAGTGCTACTGACTTTAACATGTTTTTATGCACAGTAAAATTGCAAAACGGCTGATTTATCAATGTCATTCTCATATTCATAGATAGATAGATATACAGATAGATAGATAGATAGATAGATAGATAGATAGATAGATAGATAGATAGATAGATAGATAGATAGATAGATAGATCGATAGATAGTTAGATAGATAGATAGATAGATAGATAGATAGAGACGTCATTTTTGGGTCAGACTCAAAGGTTGACAGTCAAATAGACAGACAGTCCAACAGAAAGACAGACTGACAGACAGACAGCCCAACAGACAGACAGACAGCCCAACAGACAGACAGACAGACAGACAGACAGACAGACAGACAGACAGACAGACAGACAGGCAGACAGCCCAATAGACAGACAGTCAGACAGACAGACAGACAAATAACCACCTTCAGGAAGCTGTTGACGATAAGTCGCCACGTCACCACACACACAGACCCGGCCCATTGGCTTCACACAGCCCAGGACATCTTCCGTGAACCCTGCGCCCACCTGGCAGAAGAAAAAAACATTTGGTCGCTTTCAATTACTGTCCCCGTGGTTTTATGAACCCCGCATAAAATTTATCCAAATTTGATTGTTTTTTGCATAATTTCTGATTATTTTCCTTTATCATTCTTTGTTAAAATTAACAGAATCGCATAATTTCACATTTTTGGGCTCAGTTTGCGTAATCTCAGAATTTTTCTTGCATAAAACGACGGGGACAGTTTAGAAGCACAATGGGGCTATCCCGAGAAATGCTATTTTGAGAACATTGAAGGTAAAGTTTTTGCCCCTTGTTCAGTTTCTTTAAAAGACAAGGAGAGTTTTCTCTAAAACCAATCAATTACACACACACATGAAACCAAACTTCTCCTACAGGTAGCGCAAAGGCCACTTTTGGTGTCGGTCAAGATTTTTGGAAACCCCCGAAATCTGGGTTAGCCCGCTTGTCCTTAAAAGCGACCATATAAATCCGTACACCACGACACTGCTGCAATGGAAGGGAGTTATTTGAACACTCTTCAATTTTAAAAAAATATAAAAAAAATAAAACAAAACAAAACTGACGTTGTCGAAGTAACAGTCGACGCCATTTGGTGCAGCCCTGCGCACGGCAGCTCCGGGATTCACCGCGTTGTAGTTGAACACGTGATCAAAGCCCAGCTCCCTCATCCAATCACAGCGGGCCTTGGAACCAGCAAAGCCAATCACAGAGCAGTTCTGCAAACGACACGGTTAGAACTTGTATTTCATTGGTTAGTTCAACCAACCTGTTGCGAGACCTCAGTGCTTTCTTGTCGTATCTCCAATTTTTTTTTTACATTAAAAATGTGACTTCTTTTAAAGCTCACTCTTTGTTATGAACTGTTTTCACTCATCCACAAATTCATCCACCCATCCATCCCTCCACCCATCCCCCCATCCACCCAC